TGCATCTTCTTCCCTCGGGTCACAACCCACACCCTCAGCTCTCCAAGTCCCCCAACATGCAGACAGACCTCTGCTACTGCATGGACAATTCCGGGGAACAGATCTCTTCCCCTTCTGCATGTGTCCATGCCTATGCGTTCATACACGCATGTTTGTTGCTTTTGTTCCTCTGGGGGTCCTAATGCATCAGTCTGACAGCTTAAAAAAACTGAGTAAGAGGAATTCCAAGATAAAATGTGGTGGTTTCTGGACTTTGTCCATGGTTAAGGCAGATCCAATTTAGAAACAGCCAAGGGGGCCAGGTGCCTGTCAGTGCACCTGATTAAATTCCAGTTGTCACTTATCCCTCTTCAGCCATATGAATTCAGACAGGTTACAAACGCTCACTAAGGCACAGGTCTCCACAGATACAATGGCGACCCCATTACCTTCCCAGGACGGCTGCACAGAGCAGCGGGGTCCTAGCACCACAAACAGCAGAAAGCACTGACTCTCAGTCTGGAGGCCACTACAGTGGCAGCAGGGTGGGCTCTGTTGTGATCTCTGAGGCTAAACCGCCCCAGGCTTCTCCCCTGTCCTTGGAGCTGTGGTCAGCCATCTTTGGTAACCCTTGGCTTGAGGAGGTTTCCCTTTGTCCACTACTCTGCCTCTGCCACAAGCTGTCACCTGACTGCCTGTCCTCTGGCTCCCCATGTGTGTCTCTTCCTCCCTCTCTTCATGAGGTGTTACTATGAGCTTCATTCTATCCGGACAACCACCTGCTGAACTTCAAGCCTCTTAAATCATTGACTGCAGAATACCATTACAAGAATTGAAATCCCACCCCTCTCTTGTTCTCCCCACTTCCTGTTCTCCTTCCCAGCCCTTAGGACTACCCGACCTGCTGTATATTTGTTGTTAATAATTTATGTTCTCTCTATGGCAAAAAAGAAAAGAAAAAAAAAAAAAAAACAAGATTCAGGAGAGCAGATAAGTCATTCTCTTCCCCAGCTGCACAGCTGCTTAAACTCTGGGTTGGGACACCCTGTGGGGCTGCATACCCGAATGTGAGGGTTGTGAAATATTGCCACCAGGAAAAGATTTATGAACACACAGGAGCAAAACTTAATAGAAAATCAAATGTGTCATGACTTGAGATTGCATGGGCGAACTTCACGGAGGCCTTGGTTCTGAGCATGTAGAAGGTATATTTTCCATCATACACGCTATCGCAGCGGCCAATGCTGGAGAGCACTGCCCGGACCCACTAGCTCAGGCTTAGGGCTATTCTACGCTGCAAACAGTCTTTTCAGTGCTCTGTAAAAACATTAGAGTTTCATTGCAGAAAATAGAAACTTTTTGTATTTTGACACCATCATCCTCAGCATGTAAACATCAAATTGGTGTATTTTTGGATGGCATTGCATTAGGACACTAGATCTTAAAATTTGCTGTTTGAGATGCTCATTCAAGTTTTGTAAAAAAAAAAAATGTTACTTGAATTTTGGCTTGGGATTAGGACAGAATTTCAGCAGTTTCTGAAAAGGCCCTAAATATCCTTCTGCCATTTTGTACTACATATTTATGCAAAGTGTCTTTCTCAGCACTAGTGATTATAAAATCAAAATAATGATCAACTCTGGAAAACACTGAAGATGTTCTGCATCCTGCAGTATCAAATATTCAGCCAAGATTTAATTATTGATATAAAAATAAGCAAGCACATCCATCTCGTTCTTATGCAGATTTGCTTTTGCCCTTAACAAATGGTAAAGTTATACTTATACCAATCTTTTTATAGTAAATTTCCTTATGAGCTATCATCAGGAAATGTTATTTGTATGACTAGCTATCCATCTAGAGATGTGGGAATCCCACAGACACACGAAATCCTCCAGCAAGAAGAGTTCCCAGAAAGGCAGAGGCAGAAAGCCTTCCTTTGTCCCTGTAGCTTAGGACACGGTGGACAAAATTAGTTTGGGAAATGTCTGAATCATGAATGATCTAAGATTCAAGCTGCATACTTCTGCTGAATGGCCCACGGTGTCCATCTGCAACCAATCCAGCCTCAGAATGTAGGGACAGAACAGAGGTGTCCCAGAATGCACAAGGCCTTAGCATTGATAACTTTCGTTGTTTGTGTTCATATGCGCCCCAAATACCCCGATAGATAAAATCTACTAACTTAGAAAACTAAAATTTGAAGCCGGGCGGTGGTGGCACACGCCTTTAATCCCAGCACCTGGGAGGCAGAGGCAGGTGGATCTCTATGAGTTCCAGGACAGGCTCCAAAGTCACAGAGAAACCCTGTCTCGAAAAACCAAAAAAAAAAAAAAAAAAAAGAGCTAGTTCCAGGATAGGTTCCAAAAAGCTACAGAGAAACCCTATCGCAAGAGAGAGAGAGAGAGAGAGAGAGAGAGAGAGAGAGAGAGAGAGAGAGAGAAGGTAAAAAGAAGACTAACATTAGAAGGTGAAAAACATCCAGTTGTCTTTGCCAGGTGCTGTTTGTTTCAACGCCCTGCGAAACACGAAGAGTTGGGAAAGATGAGAGATGATTTTTGCCTCTGTTCCTCAGGAACCATCTGAATACACCACCCTCCTCCCAGATAGTCGAAACACAGGCAGGCAGGTCGTACACTGTTCCTTTCCTATTTACTTTTATGGGACCACAGGACATTATGTGGTGTGCCTTTAAAAATACTGAAAAGATTATATGTACGAGAGATGGGTCTATGATTCTTTTGTATCTTCCATAACAGCTATCAAAATAAAGTACTATTATTTCTTAATCATTAATTGTTAAGGTTTTTTTTTCCCTCAAATAGCTTGAATTCTTTATCGTTTTTCAGGATTTGGGAAACAAGGACTCTTTTTCTGGGCTCATTGGCCAATTGTTTTGCTTTAAAAATGCGAGAGCAGGAGGAAGTCTGTCTTTGCCAAAGAAAAAGGCTTCCTTGGAGCTGGCTCTGCTGGGCACCAGTCACAGGGCTCAGAGGTTAGGCCAGGCACAACAGCCCTATAGCTATTTGGTGATTTGTTTCTTTTTTTCTGGATGCTGGTTGGAAAATACCTCCTAAGAAAAACATCTAAGTTACTTAGGTGTTTGTGTGTGTGTGCGCGCGCGCACGTGCGTGCGCATGCGCATGCTCACATGTTCACTATGCAAGCACAGTAGATATTTTGGACTAATTTCTGTTCTCAAGAAGAGCCTCCTGTGGCATGTATGAAGTAAAGAAGTGAAGTGACCCGCAGTTAACATCGCTGCATTCAGCATGCTGTGTGTAGGCCCAGAATGGAGAGAGGCATACCTGCAGGCATTTGCTTCCCCCAGGGGGAGTGGAAGGGCTCTTTTTGTGAATGGCTCTCCTTCTCAGGCCTGCATTTGCTTTAGCTTAAGGTCCAGCCCCGTGCCTGGGGAACAGAGAAAGCCCTGTGCTGAGGGAGGGCTGACACTTCCTGCTTTCTCCTGGGCAGCCCTCTGGAGGGGACACCCTCAATTTGGATGCGGGCCTGCCCGTCAGCTCATGCCTGGAAAGGCCTGTTAGGCCATACTGCTTTGCCAAATTTGCTGTTAGAAACATTTAGATTCTATATTTACTGTCTGGAGCTCGCCAACCTTGCCACCCCATGAAAGCTAAAAAGTAGAGATGCCAACAGACGGGAGGGTGGGACAGTCCCTTTCAAAAACCTGGCTGCTTTGGCTATCAATGCCTGGCAAGCCAAGTGGCTCCTGGAGCCAGGCTCCCCCGGGCCCTGCCTCCAGCCCACCATGCTGCCTGCCAGGGATGCAATGTACCTCCCAGGAGCCAAGTGCAGCCAGCCTGCCCAAAGCCTTTCAGGGAGAATTAAATTACCTACTAACTACCTAAACAGCTCCTGTGTGGATAAGGTCTTCATTCATTTTATTTCCTCGGGCCAGAGGAGGGCAAAGGTGGCAGAAAGGGGCACAGGTGAAAATGGGGAAGAGAGCACACTGCCCAGGAAGGACACAGTGACTGGCCTGGCTCCTGGTGCTGATTCTCGCAGCAGCTCCCGTGGGGCACAGCAGCTCTTGGGCGAGGCAACCTGGACCCAGTTACCCTGGCAACCCGTTTCCCTGGTTACTGGAGGCAGGCGGTCCAGGAGGAGCAACAGTATCAAGGATGAGCTGATGCTTGGTGGTGTTTGCCGGGAGGTGATGCTGGGCTCCCGGGAGAGGCCTTCTGGGGAAACTAGAGGGGGCTGCTCTGTTCCCAAGCAGGAACTTAACCCCACAGCCAGGGATGTAGGATTCTCACTTGCTTGGCAAGGCCTGCAGAGAGCCTCATGCTTGCAGAGGCAAGAGTGGGACCACTGCCATCTGCGTTCTGGACCTAATCCTAAAGAACTAGGAGAAAAGATGGAAGGAAGAAATTTAAAAAAAGAAAAGAAAAGAAAAAAGGGTTGGGGGTAGTAATGGAACTAATTAGCAAGGTAGCATGGAAACAGAAGAGAAAAACAAATGTGATTTAAGGAGAGAGTTGGAACCAAGGACAGAGGACCTGTGGCATGAGAGACAGCAGTGGGGGAGGGGATGATTGAGAAAAATGTATGACTTATGTGCATGTTAATGTCATCATGAAGCCCATCCTTTTTGTATAGTAACTGACCATAGTTAAAAATAGAAATCTTTTGAAGTCTTGGCACTTTTCTGTGTCATGGAGAATGTATCTTAAAACTAATTCAGCCTACATCTATATTAGTGTGATTCAGAAAATTATAGTCCAAAAGGACGTTTAAAATAATGTCAGAAAACCCTTTCCCTAAAAGAAGAGATAAAATTGGTCCGTTGCGGTAAGAAGATGAACTTGAGGTCCCCCAGAACTCCCTGCATTTCCTGTTCCTATAACCAAATAATTCTAGCATTTTCCCTTTGGTATTGCCCAGCGTCCTTTCATTACTGAAGAAGGCCATGAAGATTTAACACAGACCCCGTAACTACTTTCAAAGTCTGCCAACTTATTTCCTCTTCATAAAGACAAAAGAAACAAATAAAAACAAACCTATATGGCCCAGAAGCAAAAACCCTGGCTCGGCGGCTTCCAACCTCTGGAGACTATCCTCCTCAGACACATCTGGTGCTCCTCAGCTCTTCCTCAGGAAGGAGAGACATGAAAGCTGCCAAAAGCACTGGCTTCTTGCATGTGGTTTCCTGTGGAAACCCCTTAGTCGTGCTCAGATCACCACAGATGTTTATATCCACTTCCTTAGCTACCTGAACACACAACTGTTGTCCCAGACACCAGTGACCTCTATCTCCAGGGTTTCTGCCATAGCCACATACCTCCAGGTAGGCGAAGAGATCTGAGTTCCACCACTCTGCATTTTGATTGGCTGTGGTTTTCTGTAATGATCTCCTTCTGTTGCAAAGAGAAGTGTCCTTGATGAGGGGTGAGCCCTGCACTTATCTGTAGGAATAAGAACAAATACTTTTAGACTTTTGATAAGGGTTATGCTGGTTAAGTAAATTACCAGTTGTAGATTCCCCTCCAATAACCATGACCTTACTAGTACTGAGCTGCTGGGTTTCCAGTACCAGTCACGGTTTTTTGAGCAGGACTTTAAGTCCAATTAGGGAGCTGTTGGTCACTGCCAAGCTATGCTTGCTACTACTGTACCCTTAGGGTTATCTTGTCTTTCTGGTCATTGATACTGTTTATAGGTATCATAGCTAGGTACGAATGTCCACTGCCTATCTCCTTTGGAAGCTTGCATGGCACCTTCTGGTACCCTGAAAGTTAGTCCTCAGGGAGAGGAATTAAGGTCAGCTCCAGCTCAAGGGTCTCTGGGCTCTGTTTATGAAATGCATGGTGTCTTCAGCAAAGGGACTTCCTTACACCTTTCGGACCCAACAAAGGATGACAGATAAGCTATATACTTGGAGAGTCGCTTGGATAGCCCTGACTCTCAACTCTTAAGGCAGCCTTCTCATGTTTGATATTGGGGGTTTTTGTTAGGTGGGCTTTGGCTTTTGGAGGTAACATCATTATCTGAGATGAGAAAAGTTCATTAAAACTGTATGTGTGCATTTATACATACCAATAACATTATATATACCCAGCAGGTTGAAATCATTAATATATGTGCTATACAAACATATATATGCATTCAATAACAACTGATAAAAACAAGAGGCCAATAATTTGAAGAAGAGCAGAGAGTGCTGTAGGAAAGGGTTTTGAGAAGGGACAGGAAAAAAATTAAAAACGTAAAATAATAAATAAAAATATTACTAAAATGCAATCTCAAAAATGAAAAATCATGTATGTATATTTGCACACAGAATGACACATATTTACAGTTTTTTTTAATAAAGTAGATCATGAAAGTATGATTTCTTTTGGCTTTTCCATCTTCGGTGTTATTTTACCCTCCCTCTTTCTGTATTTATCTTCGTCGTCTTCCCTAAAGAGCCCCCCTTCCCATTTTCCCTATCAGGTCAGTTTTACCCAATTCCCCTCTACTCTCCTCCTTTCTCTTCCCTCTCCCTAAGGAGTTTCCCCCCATGCACCCCTGCCTGCTTCCATTTCCTTATCAGATCACATGGTTTTGTGTCTAACCACACAGACAAACACATAACCGAGAGCCTCGTTGTGAACACCATGGAGCTGAGTTACAGAGGGTTTCTCATTGGACAAAAGCAAGAACAGAAAAGGCATCAAGTGTTCTTGGACCTTAAACCCTAGGAGAAGGTGGCGGTATCCTGGGGCTGGATGGTGGGGTGAAGAATGGGCACCTACCTCTGCCCATGATGTAGCAAGGGAGAGCAGGCAGGCAGAGAGAAAAGTGATCCTTCATCTTCTCAATTGGCCGATTGAAAAGTACATCTATCCCCTAAGCACTCACAGACCTAATTAAGATTTGTTGAACCTGATCAAAACGTTAATTACTTTGTACAAGCTAAGCAAAATGTATAGATGTCAAAGCCTACAAACGTTTCTCTCAGTTGCTGTCCTGCACAGATATATAGAAGCAAAAACTGTCTTTGGGATCCAACACGTCTCTCTTCTCCAAGCTTTCCTGGGTATAGATTCTCACTGACCGGTTTCCTTTACAGTCTACCTAAAGGGATGTTACAACACCAATTACCAGCAGCTACTAAGCATCTTCTCTACAGCCCTTCCATCATGATCTTCTATGTATTAATCTGTCAAAGTAATGACAAGATAGTCTTCAGAAGTTCCCTGATAGGTGCCTTTACACTCAGAGGGGCTAAGAATTTGCTCTGAGCCACACAACAGCAGGAGGTCCTGACCCAAAACCCAAGCACAGAAGACTCTGAGGACCAGTGACTGTTTTCTCCCACAGCCACATTGCCGGCCATGTGAGAACCCACTCTGAACACAGCCGAGTCAGTTCCCTCGCTGGCTTCCCTGTGAGCACAGAGCAGCTTCTATTTGTCTATAGTTAATTTAGCGTTGCTGTCAGAGAGGAATGCTCCTTTCCTGGAAAGAAACCACTACTCACACCAAACGCTCTACAATCTGATGAACTGATTAGGACGTCAAGAACTGCGGAGAAGTTAGAAAGTTGCGGGTCCAGATCTTAATTAGAGTTCATCTTGGGCTATCTGGAGCCCCCTTAACAGTCATTCATTACCCACCTCGGTGTCTGACCTAACGTCTTTGTATCTACCAGGCAAATATCCTTCTGGAATATATTAACTTTACAGATCACTAGCGCTCCTAGAAACAAACATCTAAAATGTTATCAGGCAGAATCTGAAGCCCAGGGCAAAGATTTCCCTCACTTAGCCATGACCCTCCTACATGGTGTGTCCAAGGAATTTGGAAAATGTCTTGAATTGTCATTTTCTTTGTTCTGTGACTATAAAATGTCACCAGTTACCCTGTAAGAACTCAGTATTTGCAGAAATCTAAATCTACATTTCCAGACCATGGCCAATCCTGCGTGGCTTCTGAATAAACTCTTTTTTCCTCTTTGAGGGGAGAGTCACATCTTCACCTCTTATAGGTGGTGTATGTCCACAATCAGAGTTCCGGAGACACACTCAGCTCAAAGAAACAAGTTCTAATACTAGCTCAGGACACTGTCCAGACAAGGAGCATGCTAGGCTCCTGCAAGGGTCACCTCCATAGACTGGACATGCCTGTGGACACTCATCCCCTGTGGGTATGTAACTGCTTTTTGTTTTTCTCTTTCTAAGTGAGATTCTCTCCCCCTGGATTCCTGGGAAAACTGGAGGCAGCATGAGACTCCATTCTGCACTTCTTTGAGCCAGCACACGGCACAGGCTGGGAACCTGGAGAATTCAGAGCCAGATGAGCCCTCTCTGGCTCATGGACACAGATACCACCAATACCACAGGCCAGTTTCATGTGCTATGTTCACTAGATGCCTCTTCAGGGCCTCTCAGCTCTGCTGCAGAAAGTCCTAGCAACCTTTAGAATCTGCTTCTCTTGCCCCATTATGTGACAAGCAACAGGGAAGAGGCCTGGACTTTCATTCATGCATGGAACTATGAGAAAGGAGCCTGAGAACACAGGAGGAGGCAGAACATGTAAAAGAATTAACCGTGCCAAAGGCATGAGGGTGGGTGGGGAGAAGACAGCAGGAGTCCTGCTGCCCCAGCAACTAAGGTCCCTTGTGACCTGAGAATTAACATCCCCAGGGAGGAGCCAGGGGCTGCCTAAGGGTCAAAGTTGACTCTAATCTTTTAGAAGAGGAGAGTCCACAATAGTTTAGGAAAAAGGGTAAGAGCTTCAGAGTCGCAGCCCCCAGAATGATGTCGGTGGTATTTAAAATTAATTTGGGGGAAAATCTCTCATTACTTCATTTTTCTCAGGGGATGAAGCTGCTTTGAAATCCTTTTTCTTCTGACAGAAGGCAAGGACGGCAGAAACCCAGCAGCAGCAGCCTCTTTGCCCACGTTGGCTGCTAGTCCTTGGTGGCACTCATTAGGAGAGAGAAAGCCATCTTCACAGACTCTTCAGTCAGGGCTGCTGGTTTGGTTTAATGTGCTGCAGGCACGCTTAACCACCCGCATACGTTATTTATGTGGCAAAAAAAGATCACTTCCTCTTCACATGTAAATAATAAAAGAAACCGTAAAATTGGTATTTATGCCTAACAAAGGCAGAATCATTTGTTCACGTGCTCTTTGTCTAATAGTGACAGTGAAAATACCAACACTCATAGCCAGTGCACACCCATGCGCTATGCAGTGTGTGCTCACACATTATCGTAGCTACAGTGCAAACCTCAGGGGCTCACACTATGACCATTCCCATTTTATAGAAAAGGAAGCTGAGGCTCAATGATCCATGCAACTTGTCCAGAGTCATACATCTAGAGAGAAACTTTGTCCTTCATGGCTCCACAGCTGACAACAATGAAACTTTTTTTTAATTTATTTGACTTTCTTAATTTTATAGTTCTTTTTTAAAGATTTATTTATTTATTATGTACAGTGTTCAGCCTCCAAGCATGCAGGCCAGAAGAGGGCACCAGATCTCATTACAGATGATTGTGAGTCACCATGTGGTTGCTGGGAATTGAACTCAGGACCTCTGGGAGAGCAGTTCGTGCTCTTAACCTCTCCAGCCCAACAACAATGAAACTTAAAGGCAGCAAAGATCCATGATAGACTGACTCATGTGTGTGGCACCGAGGACCTAAAAGCCACTCTGTAGACACAGTCTCGTGGGAGGACAAGATTGCTCCCAAGAGTTAAAACTGTTCCTCATTCTATACCACGTCCATGAAAGAGGTTTTAGCATGAGCACTGTCTTGGGCATCAAGACTAAAATAAAGGACATAGCCATGGCCTGTGGACACAAGAAGCTGGCAGCAGAGTTAAGAGGCAAGAGAGATGAAGCAGAAAGACACTCTTGAAGTAGGGAGAGAGACAATGCATGCACACAGGTGCCAGGGAAACACAAAGGAACACCTCATGCAGCCTGGGTGACCAGGTAGACTTCTTAGAAGACATGAGACATGGGTGAGTCCTGGATGCTAAGCATTGCCCCAAGGGAGAAGGGACAGATGAAAGGAATCTGTCCCAGGACAATACAGGAGGGGAGAGCTGTGATTATCTTCAGAGTCCAGTGTGAGGGAGGGGAACCCTTCAGGGAGGGAGAACGAAGGCAGGATATCTCACACCTTGCACAAGAAGCTTGGGTTTCACCCTTGGGCTCAG